TTGTTGCACATGTAGCGGTTTGGCATGTAGCTGCACGTTCCGGCTACGCATGGAATTAGCTCGCTTGGGTTCTAGCCCCATTTCAGTCCTTCTCTTGTGTTCCTTCTTCGACCTTTTTGGGGTCTTCAATCTCTTGTGGAAGTTGCTTCTCCCCGAAGAGGGACACCCAAGGAAACCTGAGAGGTGGCGAAGTGGGGCTGACTCTTCCTTTCTTGCACAAACTTGAGGGCTTTGGGGGAGAGGGAAGCAGAGGTAGCACATGAGGTCGGAAGTGCCTCTGGTGTGCCACGTGGCATAAGATTCAGGGCGTGCACTTCCTAGTGGTCTCTGCAGCTTTTTCAGGGTTGCCCAAAATCTCTCGGGGAGTAGCTCCCTTCCAAACAAGACAGTAAACTTCCCTCCATAAAGCATAAAGATTGTGGGGGGGCTTCTGATGACAATGGGATTGGGGGAGGATCCTGAGTTGTAGACCCCCTAATTCAGCCCTTCTTCCTCTTTCCTTTCCAGGCTCCCTCTCACACTCCCTGTGCTACTTCTACCTGCAAGTGTCAGAGCCCAGCCAGGTCTTCATGAGGGGCTACCTGGACGACCAGCCCATTGCTTGCTATGACAGCCTCACCAGGATTATGGAACCGCTGGTGCCCTGGATGGAGGAGCTGCAGAAGGAGACTTTTCTGGCCCCTGAGAGGGTCTTCAGGGCTGACCTGGAGAGTGTGCAAAACCTCTACCCCCAGAATGAAGGTAAACAGGCAGATTCTTCTCTTCAGCCCTGAATTCACTCCCAGTCCTCACTTTCCACAACCTGTCAGCCAAAGAAAGAAGTTCCCAGAGATCATGGAGTGGGGGCAGAACAACATCCTCACCCCGCGAAGGAGGGGCAAAGCAACCATGCACCCACCCACACCTCTTTGCAGGAATCATATCCAAGTTGCAGGATGTCTTTTTCTGTCTCCTTTGACCTCCAAGGATGCAGAGGGCTGGTGGGGAGACTTTCCTTCCTGTGGGGGAGAGAAACCCCATTCTTCCCACCTTAAAAAGGCAGTTCTGCCCCTATTTGCATAACAGTTGTACAGCCCTATCAGTGAGTCTTTCCTTCCTCCTCTAGAAGGAGATTGAACCCCCTGGTGTGGAGGGGGGACTAGAAAGGGGTGTCTGGGGAGAGGAATGCTGGCCCCTCCCACCCCCCGAGTGTGTCTTTCAGGGCTTCACACCTGGCAGGTGATTTTGGGCTGTGAGCTCAGGGAAGACGGGAGCCAAGGAGGGTCTTTGCACTATGGCTACAATGGGATGGACTTCATCAGCTTCAACAAGGAGACCCTCAGGTGGGTGGCAGCTCACCCCCAGGCCGAGAAGGTCAAGGAGAAGTGGGATGACGATCTGGTGCGGTCCAAGAGAAACCAGGTCTTCCTGGAGGAGACCTGCATTGAGCGGCTACAGAAATACCTATCCCACAGGAAGGAGGCTCTGCAGAGGACAGGTGAGTCCATGGGAGAAGGAAACCTGGGAGTTTTTCTAGACTGGAGCTTTTGAGGGTGTGGGTGAGGAGGGGGGATCCTGTTTGGGGAAAAATGCCATCCTTGTGTCTGGACAGCTGCACTTGGCGTCCTAGGGGGCTCTAACATGGGGTACCCTTCCCCACTTTCCTGCCATTTCCCCGTCCAGATTTCACAGCTTCAAACCTCTCCTGCCCCCAAATAATCCTCTCTGGGGCAGAAGCAGATGAAAACTCCTGTTAAAATGAAAAGATCTTGCCAAGTGGAAGTATCTGGAAGTCCCATATCCTGCATCAGGGGCAGAAAAGATGAAGCTGTTCCTGATCTCCAATCTGGAGTCACTTGAACCCATTCAGTTTGGGGCCTGGTGTTATTAACCCCAAAGCCCTGAGATTATTTTGTTTCACCCGAAAGCTCTCTTAGTCATTTTCAAAAAGAAACTTCAGGAGCTCCAACCCCGAAACCTTGGAGCCTACAAGAGGCTCAGGAGAGGAGCAGAGAAAGTGGCTGGCCTGCTCTGAAATCATCTGGTTTCTTGGTGACCGAAGAGATTCAATGAGTTGTGTTGCTACCATTTTTGCAGAGCCCCCAGTAGGGAAGGTGACCCGCAAGGTGGTTATTGACAACGTGGAGGCTCTCATCTGCCAGGCCTACGGCTTCTACCCCAAGAAGATCAATGCTACCTGGATGAGAGACGGAGAGGTCTGCAAGTATGAGACCTTCCATAGGAATGTGGCCCCCAACTCGGATGGGACCTATTATGTTTGGTTCAGCATTGAGATCGACCCCAAGGAGAGGGACCGCTTCAGCTGCCAAATGGAACATGAGGGTTTGCAGGAGCCCCTGGTCTTGGCCTGGAAGGAGGAACCTGCTGAGAAACTACAAGATTGGGGTAGGTAGAGAGGAATTTTCACCCATGTTGGAAAGAATTTAAAAAAAAATTCTCTGCTAGGCCATCCCAGGTCTTGTGATGCAGAAAGGGAAACGTCACTGTGTCCTTCTGCTGAAAACTAAGATGATGCTGATGGCAGAGCTTCCTTGAGAGAGGCAGGCTGGACCTCCTGCCCAGCTTCCTCCCATAAAAAGCATTATGAACATGAAGGGAAGGGAATGCTAAACAGCTCGTTTTCTGGGAGGAATCTTCACTGATCTCAGCAGACTTAATTCAGAGTAGACATGTCTTGAAAAAGAGAACAAAAAAGAAGGAAGAAGGTGGTGAGTTATTGAGAGGTTTTTGCAGCTACAAGGTGAATATTCACCGTCTCTGCTGCCCCATCCAAGGTCTTGAGATGTCTGAGAATGAGGGAGGATGTAGTTTTGGACAAGGAGTGGAAAGTGAGCTCTTGAGAGCAAATGTTCCTCTTCATCAGAAATGAATTTGAAATGTGGTTTTTTATTTGTTATGTGTCAGGACAAGTTCCAGGGGGTGTAACTCAGTAACCAGCCATTTCTCTGAAGTGGAAGATGGACCTGGGAGGGCAGGAATGTCATCCAAATGAGGTCACGGCACGGAGGCCCCGGCAATGGGGGAGATGCTTCCTCTGCTCTGCACCCATTTCAGGGAACTCAGCGTCTGTGCAGGAGGCCTGGAGGGCAGCCTCCCTTCTAACCACAAACATGTTTCTCCTCCTTTAGCCAGAGAGCGGCTCGTTCTGGTGGGGCCCATCCTTGTTGTCCTGCTGGGGCTTCTGCTGATCCTCCTCCTGAGATGTAAGTGAACTGGAAATGCCCCTGGTGCTGATGGCAGAGCTCCCTGAGCAGTGGATCCAGGACCCCCACAAGCCCCCTCTGATAATGAGCCAGAAGGGAAGGGGGTCCTAGGCAGCCATGTCTTTCTCTGCTATAAATCTCACCACCCTCACCTGCCTGTCCGGAGTTCAGACCAAGGGCAACCTTAACAAGGGAATCATTAAGAAGGTAGAAAACCAAGAAGCTTTCATCCCAATTAAGGATCCCGGCCCCCTTCTCTCAACCTTCCTTCCCCTTTAACTGTGGGATACTCCCTCCACATCTGAAAGGGCGGTTTTTACTTAACAAAGGATTTTTTTTCACCCCACGAAACCCCAAAATCTGTCCGCAAATCAGATCCCCCGCATTCTCGACCTCACAACTGCCCAAAGTGTATAAAAATCTCCTTTGTTCAAGCTTCTTCTTTATTATAAAGTGGACTCAATCGTGATTGAATAAAGAGCTGGTAATTTCTCCTTGGTGCTCAGCTTCCTACTTCAACATTTTTCATTACAAAGCAAATAATTATTTTTAAGTATTGTACATGTAGTGGCAATGCGGAAAACTGTTGTTGTTTCGAGGAGTTTAGGTGACATATTTTGATTTCTCCTGCACGTCTTAAGAAAGTTCACTCTGAGTCATGATAATGTTTAGCGGCTTGTTCTTCACTTTTACCTAGAAGTGTGGGGGGGGGGAACCCTCCGGATTGTTTAGGTCAAGCACTAGCTTCTCTGTCCACTTCCAAGGCTCTTGAGTCACATGATGAGCAGGTGCAACATCTGGCCAAGGTCACCCTCACAGCCTCTGACTCCGTAACAGACTCCTGGGATGGCAGTGCCAGCCTTTGATCAGGACCCCGGCATTGCCCCTGGAGTTTGGAGCGTGGACGCAGGCCTTGATGCCAGGCGCTGCATTGTCTAAGCCATCCTGGGGTCTGTCCGCTGTTGCCTTATGGTAGCTCCCGATGGGAGGGGAAGAGTTTTAACATCTTGCTTGGCATGTTATCTTACACTGCTTTTGATTTCTGTTTAATTCCATCTGCTAATTCTTATATTCCTGTTTCATTCAGTTTGCTAGAGTTAACAATAAAGCTTAAAATCTCCTTACCTACTGGTGTGTTTATTGCCTCCAGACCTAAAAGAACTAAACGAACCAATTTTGACAATTGGCAAAAGAGTACATTTTCTACTTTGATTATAAATCATTATTGGCCTTCGTAATAAAAAAATGTAACATCATGCTAAAAATTAATGCTTTACAATAAGGTTTGAGATCAAGAAATTTAGCTGCCTTAGAAATGTCCACCTGTCCAACTAATGATGGATGACCGGGTTGTGTGGAAACCCCCCCCCCTTTCCACCCTCCTAGTGATGGGGGGGCCCATGTGATCCCTCTACGATCCGCCCTTAAACCTGAACTTCTGGGCAGGCCTTGTGGGGCTCTGTCATATTTGGGAAGATGGAGACCACCCTGGGGGAATTACAGTGAACAGCAAAGACAGCCAGACACATCTGTTGGCAACTAGATGCTCAGAAGCTCTTAGGTGGGTCTGCAGGGCCAGGACCTCAACATTGCCCAGAGTTGGACTGGAGTATTGCAAGGCCAAGAACCCCAGACCCAGTATTTTGGCCTGGTTAACCCAACCTGCTAAGATGATGGCTGGGTGCCCACAAAATGCAAACCCTCCTTCTGCCCAACTCCTTTTTTTTTTTTTTTGCTAGAAACAGCAAACTCTTATTATTATTATATGGTTATATATCTTGATATATTGTTTCAATACAATATTTTCACAGTATTAATTAAAAATTATTGACATTCTATTGTTTTGATAATTTAGAGTATTGGAAATAAAGAAAAGAGAAAGAATATTCTATCAATATTAATTACAATTCAGGATATTGATATTACAAGCATAACATTATTTGACATTTTCATACAAAATTGAGTATAACATTAGAAAAAAGAAACTGCTGCAGAGTGCATCAAAGTATTTGTACCACAAAGGTTTCTGTCTTGAGTGATCCCTTAATATAGAAGTCTCCACTGTACTGTGTGTGTGTGTGTGTGTGCGCGTGTGTTAAAAAGAAAAATAGCAGAACAAATTTAACAAAAATTTAAATACCAAAAAAAAATTTAGAAAAACAACTGCTACAATGTACAAATCTGTACAATTTACCCTGTTGCAGACGTGTAAGCCCCCTCAGAAGCCATAGGTGATCCCGCTTGCCACGCTTCTGGATGTTTGCCTGGGAACTGTTCTTGCCTGAATCTGATGGCGCTTCTGCCAGATCGGATGCTGCCAGTTCTGCCACCGCTGCGTAGTCTCCAAGCTGAAGTTCCCGCTCAGATATTGCCAGAAGTGGATCTTTCTTCCGGTGCTGGGCAAAATGTATTCCCGCTGCTGTGAGCACGTATCTCATCAAGTTATGATGTTCCTTACTGATTTTTTCCTGAGATTACAGCTAATAAGGAAAAGGGGTTTCATTTCAGATTTAAATTCCAAAATTTTCTGCATTATCCTATGAATATTTTTCCAGTAGCGGGGGGGGGGGCTTACACATCCACCACACCTCATGAAGCGTTCCACCTGTTTCATGGCATTGCCAACTTTCATTGCTGTATGATTTGTTTATCGTAGGTATTATTAATGGAGTTATATACCATCCGTAGAACATTATCTAAGGAAAAGTTCACATAGGCACCCTAACCGATGGTGTTGGTTTTCTGTGAGCATTTCCATTTTTCCCCCTTAACATCCCTCCTTCTTTCCTGAGATCTGATTTTCTCTTCCGGCCTTCTCTGAGCTGTTCTTGCGCGTTTTAATCTGTTCGCGGAGTCCGAGCGAACCGTATCCGCGCATGTCTCCGGCAGGAGAAGCGCTGGAGGGAGCAGCAGAGGCGAGACCGTTGGGCTGATTGTGACTCCCCCCGCAGAATTCCGCGCTCTCCTCAAACTTTGTCCGATGCGCCCTCTCACGCGTCTCTCCTCCTCTGGGTCGCTGTCCAGAAGCGTCGCTATTCCTCAGAGGCGTCTCGGCCCATCGGCTGGCTGTCTCTGACGGCGGTCAGAGGGCAGATCGCCCCGCACTCCCTGGAGGCTGGCAGGGCGCGGGCCTGGCCCGGCTCTTCCTCCGGGCCATCCCCATTTGCGGACCGGTTCCTGCCGCTCTTCGCGGAGTTCTCATCGAGATTCTGCGCGGCGCCATTTGGCAGAGTCCGAAGGGATGGGTACATTTCTTGCGAGGACTGCAGCTGATCCTGAGGCAACTTTAGCTCCCCCTCCCCCCCTTTCCGCGTCTCTTTCGGTCTCTTCCCGTAATTTCACGTGGATCCCGTGGCGCATTCCTCGACCGTCGCCCGGCGGGCGCAAACCGAGGCGTGCCGCTGAACGCGCAGAGAGCCAAGTGGGAGGCCCTTCCTTGCCCCGCTCCGACTCCTGGCTTCGCTGCGGTTGGCTGGAGGGGCGGATCTCCCTTCCGCGTGGGCCAATCGCGGGCCCCGCTCTGCGTTCGGGCGGTGTTTTCGGAGAGCAGCCGGAGGAGAGCTGCGCTGGGCGGCTGCGGAGATGCATGGCCGACGGGAGAGGGGCTCTGCAGAGGACAGGCGGGTGGCCAAGGGGGGGGTCTTTTCTGCAGCCCCCCTTTCTTTCTGGACCGAACAGGGGGCCACGAGGTCTGGGGAGGGGTCATTCGCTGCTTCCCCCGAATCCGTCCTCCCTAAAGTCTGGTCCCAACTGTATTCTGGTTCTGGTCCCAACTGTATCTCATTTCTCAGGACCGTTTCAACACCCGGTGGTAGGTAACCATTCTTGAATATTTCCACCAGGTTTATCTTCCTTACTCTCTACACGTTGGTCCTTCTACCTATGACTTCAGGCCATTAAAGTCAATTAAAAATGGTCAACTCAATTGTGTTGATCTCACTTTGTATTTTCCTGTGTTTTCTTTGCGGAATGAACTCGTGCTAGTATGAGATGGAACCAAAGAGAGAAGAAATGTGCATTGCTATGAATCACCTATGCTATCTTATTTATTGTTTAGTTCTTACTAATTGTGTGTCTTCAGATTCGTTTATCGCTATTGCAGTATTAAGGCCAAGAAACACTGACACAGTGTGTTGCCCTGATTGACCCGACCTGCTAAGATGATGGATGAGTCCCCACTGTCAGGTTCGGTCAGCACGAGGTTTCAGGGAAGCACGGGGCTGCAGGGAAGCTCGCACCCAGACCACGCGGAATCCACCGGCGGTAG